CTGCTGGTGCCCCTCACTCCCAATCCACGGTCCCCTGCCCCTCCCCCAGCCCTGCCAGAGGGGGCCCCCAGCTGCCTCCCTCCTGTTTGCACCAGAGTGTAAGAAGTGAGTGCAGGACCCTGCCTTTATGAGCACTGTCCCATGCTGCTGGGCCAGACACACAGCTCCCCGCTGTGAAGAACCACTCCTACCTCCCCTTGTCTTTCTTCCCCCACTCGCCCCCCACAGCGCAGCTCCATGCCCAGCCACAATCCCCAGCTCAGGCAGGCACGTGTGCACCTCTCCCCTCACCAAAACATACTTACCTGCGTCCAGTGGCTGGGGCCGCTCCCACAACCTGGCCTTGCTCTATGCTGGCTACATGTATCTGCCTCACATGTGCCCACTGCCTCCAATCATCCCAAGCAACCACTTGCAGGCTGGAACGCTGCCAGCCTGCAAGGGGAAACGTGTGCTTTCATGGGTTTTTTTCTGGGGACCTGCTTTCAACCCTTTCAAATATTCTTGCAACCTACTTTTGTATTGCGACCTACTGGTTGAGAAACACTGGCTTAGAGGACAGCCAGTCCTTAGATGAATGTCAGCCTCCAGGAAAAGCGAATAGAAAATATATGGACAGTGGCAGATTGACGAAGTTTGGGTATGGTCCCTTATTGAAGGAAAAGGACCTATTGACACCAGTGTTCAAGGAAGGAGCAAGGGCTGGGAAAATCATAGTGGATGGAAGGAATTTTATTCAGGAAGAGATTGAAGGGAACAAGAAAGTAGATGGTTTTCTTATGGGACTGATTTGTGTCAGCAATGCAGGAGAAAGGGGAATTCCAGTCTTTCAAGGCGGGGTAGCCTCTGATCTGTGTGTGTATATGGCATCCAACTAGGGCCCTTATGCACCACCAAAATAATGATACCTTTTATAAAACAGACTGGAGCAGAAAAATTGGTGTGCATGTTTCAGAACAAAACCTTCTCATAATTTCAGTTATAGATTTCCTCTGGTTTGTGACACAGGAATCAAGACACAGGGTGCAGCTACATGAGAAATTTACTGAAGACCTGCCTAATTAGCTCTGCAGTAAAGTCTCAGTTTCTACACATGCAGCCCTATTAGGCTGCAGTATACTAATAAATGCCACCATAGGTCAGTACTTGTCAACACAAGTACTGTCCTATGGTGGTGTTATTTAGCGCACCGCAACACGTGTGTAGATGCTGACAGGGCTGGCTGGGGAAAAGGGTGCTTCACTGCAGGGGCTGCCTGCTAGCTAGCCCCACACTGGAGCACCCTCGTGCCCCAGCCAGCCCCTCCACAGCATGTTGAGCTGTGTTGAAGCCGCCCTGGGCTGACCCCCCAGGTCCCCTGCCAGCTGGGGCTACTCTGACCTGGCTCAACATGCTGTAATCCCAGGCACACGTATAAACGTGGCGCCCAGGGGCAATAAACTCCAGCGTGAATGCACCAGTTTTTCAGTTGAATTAATTTCATGTGTAAACGTGCCCACAGTGCTTGAAACATAAACCTGGAGCAAATTGCACTATGGCAGCTGCACATGAAAGAACAGTCTGTGCCTTGGAAGCCGATAGGTAGTTATAAGAACGGTAGAATTACTCTTGATTCTTTTAGAAGTAAATGTGCCACTGCTGGGGCAGACTAACGCATTTGTTTGAGGCTGTGTCACTTATTAGCAGCTGTTTTCTTTTAACGTGGGACAGCTTGACTTGACACAGGTTAACTTACTCATATGTCCATGACTTTTTTAACATAGAGTAAGAGACCTTGGAATGAATGTCTAATTCCTAGGAAGCAGAACTTCTGCTGTCTAATATCTGACATGCAAAACTAAGCTACTGGTGGATCCTTTTACCAGGATCAGTTCTATTTTATGTATGTATAAGTACTTGTTGCTTGAAAGGCCAGTTTTTGTTTGTGACTATGTCCTCAAGCCCACCCCACCTTCTTCACATGGGTTGCCTTCTAAACAGGAAGCAATGTTACTGCATCTTTGCAAAACTTAGGGCAGAGTAATTAATTAACGCTGACTAACCTGCCTGCCTGCGGTGCCCTGCAAATGCAGCTGTACTGCTTCTGGTTTAAGAGGCAGTACATGTGGAGAACTGTGCTGTGCTTGAGGGAACTGCCACTAGGCATAGTAAATTTACTGTGCAGACATGATCCATGAGGACATACAGTGATGACAAGGGCAGCCAAGAACAGATATGCAAGAAAATGCATACATCTTATGACAACAAAGAGATATCCCAGGATCCCAAAAGAACTGGTACTAGTCTCCTAGCAATTTAAATTTGTTATCTTTAATGAAGCAACTCCTAATTTACATTGGTGTGGTTAAGAACAGAATCAAGTTGTGGAGTGATCATAGGCTCCTGCTTGTCCGCACCAATTAGAGAAGACTAGAAGGCTGTGCTAGAGAGACAATAATAAAGGTTGGATAGATCCTGGAAGGAAATAGATTACAACACGTTAGGCGTCTGTCTCTCCCTCACAAATCCCATGAACATCTGATACAGAACAGAATAAAAGGCTCCACCCACCAATGTAATTTTCTCACCATCTCCTCTGTTTAATTAAGTAGGGAGCTTGTATGAAACGGCAGCTTTTCAGCCTTACATTTTTTCCCTACTGGAAGTGTATGATAGTAGCTGTTTTGCCAAATACCTAATACTATATGTCATTCATATTTGGAATTGAATAACCTAAGTTACTACAGGCCTGATTCTGGTGTGACTGGTTTACGGCTCTGATTCAGCAG